GTTTGATCTACTATGGATACGTACCTCCATAGTTTGATCTACTATGGATACGTACCTCTATTGCTTGATCTACTCTGGATACGTACCTCCATAGTTTGATCTTCTACGGATACACACCTCCATGTTTTTATCTACTACCGATATGTACCTCCATAATTTGATCTACTACTTCAATATTTAGAAGAAGAAAAAGGTAAGACAACACACTTTGCTATTTTTAGTTCTGTCTAAGTCAGAAATATGTTACACGGTAATTTAAGTGACGTAGGAAAATTAAAAGGAATATATTATCAACGTAACTCTTGTTACCCGGCATTGAACCCCTCAACTACCAGGAAATATATCGACTAACGATGGCCAACATCGTTCTAGCTCTACTTCGAACTTCAAAAAGGTACATGTACCTCTATAATAATATCTATAATAATGCACTCATGATATTGATATAAATCACACTAATACAAACATGATAAGATAAACACTTCCAAACAAGATACAGTACATAGTTAAATAGAGATAGCTACACAAAGTCCATTACCGTGTCGATGATAAACGATTACATAGAATGTTTTAATAAAGTAATATCTAGTACAGTGTAAAAATACGCATTAAAAGTTAATCTTACTCTAACACCGAGTAAACATATTACCCGAAAAGGCCAGAATATTATATATGATTGAACAGAAAGAAAAACAATACTTACTTAAAAGGGATAATAACTAGATATGTGATATTTCCATGAAAATAAGAGAGGATCTCCAGGTTATAAATCACAACCCATACTTACCTCATGACTTTATTTATAGCGAACATTTCTAAGAGATGCACTTCAGGTATAAAACACTAAACATATTTACCTCCATAGCTTTCCATATGGCGAACATTCCTATTGGCCAAAAGCAGAAAAAGGTGGCGATTATTGCTCTCACCATGTTGTCCTCTGGAGGGACAGTCATTACCACATGTTGGATGCCAGGTTGCTGTGTTATCTAACAAATATTTTCATATGCAATAAGTTCATATTTCTTAGGATTCTGCTGTAAAAAATACTTTATTTGAATAATGTAATTCATAAATATTTTCATAACCTACTAAAACAACTATGTAAACTCTACTTTGTAAACACTCTACCATCAATAGAACACTTGTCATGTTATACACTCCATCATCAATAGTACACTGTTGTCATGTTATACACTCCACCATCAGTAGTACACTGTTGTCATGTTACACACTCTACCATCAATAGTACACTGTTGTCATGTTATACACTTCACCATCAATAGTACACTGTTGTCATGTTACACACTCTACCATCAATAGTACATTGTTGTCATGTTATATACACTCTATCATCAATAGTACACTGTTGTCATGTTATATACACTCTACCATCAATAGTACACTGTTGTCATGTTATATACACTCTATCATCAATAGTACACTGTTGTCATGTTATGCACTCCATCATCAATAGTACACTGTTGTCATGTTATATACACTCTATCATCCATAGTACACTGTTGTCATGTTATACACTCCATCATCAATAGTACATTGTTGTCATTCTATACACACTCTACCATCAATAGTACACTGTTGTCATGTTATATACACTCTACCATCAATAGTACACTGTTGTCATGTTATCCACTCCATCATCAAAGGTACACTGTTGTCATGTTATAAACACTCTACCATCAATAGTACACTGTTGTCATGTTATACACTCCATCATCAATAGTACACTGTTGTTATGTTATACACACTCCATCATCAATAGTACATTGTTGTCATGTTATACAGACTCTACAATCAATAGTCCACTTTTGTCATGTTATACACTCTACCATCAATAGTACACTGTTGTCATGTTATACACGCCACCATCAATAGTACACTATGTTATACACACTCTATCATCAATAGTACACTGTTGTCATGTTATACACACTCTACCATCAATAGTACACTGTTGTCATGTTTTATGTCACTGTCATTCATTTTAACGTAGAAGTTATAATGATAATACTTCGGTATGCGATGGTGATTGCCTGTTTGTATGCCTCATTTATACATACTATAACATTGTTGGTTTGCATGGTTTGCTGCTGAAATGGTGCTTGCATCTGGTACTGAGGCTGTGCCCACCCACTACTGGTTCCTGGAGGAGGTGGAGCGTAGCCTTGGGGTTGGGCATACCCTGCATTACCACTTATAGGAGGTTGGCCATACCCTTGGTTTCCCCCTGCGGGAGGAGGTGGCACAAACCCTTGGTTCGTGTAAGGGGGAGGAGGTGCACCTTCAATGAAATAGCGACAAAATGTTACAACATGCCAAATCACATATACAAGTAACGGATACAATCAGTCATTGCGTATAAAGCATTAGCAACACAAACACGCTGAGCTTGCGAGTATTGATATTTCACTATGTGTAAATATTGTTTTATGTAAATACAACCGCTTATAAATCAAAAGTCAGAATCCTATAATGTTTAAATGGAAATACTGGCACGTCAATAAGGCAAATATTTCCAATGGGAATTGAACAAGAAGCTTAAACATATAACTTATACACCAAGTGTTATAAAAACCTACCTGATTTTCCCTCCATTGTTGTGTGTCTACCTGCAACAGACTATATCTCACGCTGGGGTAGATAACTAAAACAAACTAATATCGATCAAAATATGCGCAGTTCGAGTCTTGAGTACAACTGGTGTCACACGGTGAGCTCTATAGATACCAGTCAGGTGTATCAATATAGGGCACCAGGAAGATATCTCACATGGTATGACGTGTGTATAGCATATGTGTACTATAGCTATCTACCTGTGTAAAACAACATCGACCTGTGTAAAACAAGATCTAACTGTGTAAATAAAGATCAACCTGTGTAAAACAACATCTACCTGTGTAACAACATCTACCTGTGTAAAACAACATCTACCTGTGTAAAACAGGATCTAACTATGTAAAACAGCATCTACCTGTGTACACACATCAACCTGTGTAAAACAACATCTACCTGTGTAAAACAACATCTACCTGTGTAAAACAAGATATAAATGTGTCAAACAACATCTACCTGTGTAAAACAACATCTACCTGTGTCAAACAAAATCTCCCCGTGTAAAACAGCATCTACCTGTCTAAACCAACATCTTCCTGTGTAAAACAACATCTACCTGTGTCAAACAAAATCTCCCCGTGTTAAACAGCATCTACCTGTGTAAAACAAAATCTACCTGTGTAAAACAACATCTACCTGTGTAAAACAACATCTACCTATGTAAAACAGGATGTAACTGTGTAAAACAACATCGATCTGTGTAAAACAACATCGACCTGTGTAAAACAAGATCTTACTGTGTAAAACAGCATCTACCTGTGTAAAACAGCATCTACCTGTGTAAAACAGGATGTAACTGTGTAAAACAACATGGACCTGTGTAAAACAACATCTACCAGTGTAAAACAACATCTACATGTGTAAAACAACATCTACCTGTGTAAAACAACATCTACCTGTGTAAAACAAGATGTAACTGTGTAAAACAATATCTACCTGTGTAAAACAACATCGACCTGTGTAAAACAACATCTACCTGTGTAAAACAGCATCTACCTGTGTAAAACAGGATGTATCTGTGTAAAACAACATCTACCTGTGCAAAACAACATCTACCTGTGTACACAACATCTACCTGTGTAAAACAACATCTACCTGTGTAATGCAAGATTTAACTGTGTAAAACAGCATCTACCTGTGTAAAACAACATCTACCTGCGTAAAACAACACCAACCTGTGTAAAACGAGATCTAACTGTGTAAAACAACATCTACCTGTTTAAAACAACATCTACCTTTGTGAAACAACATCTAGCTGTGTAAAACAATATCTTCCTCTGTAAAACAAGATATAACTGTGTAAAACAGGATGTTACTGTGTAAAACAGCATCTACCTGTGTAAAACAACATCAACCTGTGTAAAACAACATCTACCTGTATATGGTATATGGAGAATCGGGACGTTTTCCATTAGAAAATACTATTAAAAGTAGAATGATTTATTCTGGCACAAACTAATAACAGAAAACGGTAAAGTATCGAGTCAGTTATATAATATTATACATGCAATGCACGAAACGGGCGCATTTCACTCGAAGTGGCTAAATTTTATCAAAACTACACTAAATGATCTAGGCTAGACATATATGTGGACAGCCCAAAAAGTGATTACTCTAGAACGACAAAAACTTAAACATGTTGTAACACAAAAGCTTAATGACCAGTTTAATCAAAAGTGGTATGCCGATACCGAAAAAAGTAGTAGAGGACAAAATTATCTATTATTTAAATCTAATTTTGGTTTTGAAAATTACTTAACTCAATCAAACAAGAGGGATCGTGTATTGTTTTGCAAATTTCGCTCGTCAAACTTCCCGCTGCCCCTGGAAACTGGCCGTTGGATGGGAATTCCTCGAGAGGAAAGAGAATGTACTTTGTGTAATAGAAATGAAACAGGAGATGAATTTCATTATTTGGTTAAATACCAACAAGAATCCATACGCCAGATTAGGGGAAAATGTATTCCAAAATATTATTACACGAACCCAAATGTCGATAAAATGAAAGGAATGTTTACAACATGTAACAAACGATTAATCAAAAGGGTTAGTACATTTCTTGTAAAACTGCAAATAATTATAAGAAATAGCAATTGAAATAAATCAGTATGTCAAAAATACTATACTTTGCATTATGGCAAATCTGAAGACAACAAATTGTGTATTCAATACATATATGAATAATGCTTAAAAATCCGTTCATGTATAGTCTTACTGTTTCACATGCATGAAATAATGCTGAATCTTTTCATGTGTAATCTACTCTCACTCGTGTGAACTAATGCTGAATCTGTTCATGTGTAATCTACTCTCACTCGTGTGAACTAATGCTGAATCTGTTCATGTGTAATCTACTCTCACTCGAGTGAACTAATGCTGAATCTGTTCACATGTAATCTACATGTGTGAAATAATGCTAAATCTGTCCTTGTATAATACTACTGTTTCACATGTATGAAATAATGATGTGTAATCTTACTGTTTCACATGTAAGAAAATAATGCTGAATCTGTTCATGTATAGTGATACTGTTTCACAAGTAAAAAATGATGCTGAATCTGTCCATGTGTTGGTTATAATGATACTTTGTAACAATACATCTGATACATATGTACATCAAAAAATGTTTGATTTGATGATGCTGATTCTGATGATGATGATGATGATTGGTAATGGATGATGATGATGATGATGATTGGTAATTGATGATGATGAGGATGATACTTTGGTGATTGATGATGATGATTTTGATGATGATAATGATATCTGGGTGTAATCTTACTTTATCATACTAAAGAAACATTGCTGAATCTATCTATGAAAAAATGCTGAATCTATCTATGAAATATTGCTGAATCTATCTATGAAATATTGCTGAATCTATCGATGAAATAATGCTGAATCTTTCTATGAAATAATGCTGAATCTATCTATAAAATATTGCTGAATCTATCTATGAAATATTGCTGAATCTATCTATGAAATAATGCTGAATCTATCTATGAAATAATGCTGAATCTATCTATGAAATAATGCTGAATCTATATATGAAATAATGTTGAATCTATCTATGAAATAATGCTGAATCTATCTATGAAATATTGCTGAATCTATCTATGAAATAATGCTGAATCTATATATGAAATAATGTTGAATCTGTCTATGAAATAATGCTGAATCTGTCCATGTGTAATCTACTCTCTCGGTCATGTTTGATTTGATTGTAGTTATTTTGTTTGACCACTTGTTACACACTTTGTGTATCGGAGCGTAATAAAAATCTTGAATCTTGAATCTGTGTAAAATAAGACCTACCCAAAGTTGTCCGCCCTGACACTCACTAACAACTCTCCCCGATCGGACGTGAATAAGTATGGGGTCACATGCCCGAACCACGTGGGTAAATAAAGTTTATATATACTAACAACTCTGGGTAGAAATTCGTGTTAAATAGAGATTTAACGGCGAGCGACTGTGCTGATTATAAATAACCATCATAATACAACAATTTATATATACACCAATTACAACAATTTATGCATACAACAAATACAACAATTTATGTATACAACATATACAACAATTTATGTATACAACATATACAACAATTTATGTATACAACAAATACAACAATTTATATATACAACAAATACAACAATGTATGTATACAATATATACAACAATTTATGCATACAACAAATACAACAATTTATGTATACAATATATACAACAATTTATATATACAAACATACAACGATTTATGTATACAACAAATACAACAATTTATATATACAAACATACAACGATTTATGTATACAATATATACAACAATTTATATATACAAACATACAACGATTTATATATACAACAAATACAACAATTTATGTATACAATATATACAACAATTTATATATACAAACATACAACGATTTATATATACAACAAATACAACAATTTATGTATACAATATATACAACAATTTATATATACAAACATACAACGATTTATATATACAACAAATACAACAATTTATGTATACAATATATACAACAATTTATATATACAAACATACAACGATTTATATATACAACAAATACAACAATTTATGTATACAATATATACAACGATTTATGTATACAACATAATATGCAACAACTTACATGTACAACGTAATATGCAACAATCAATATATACAACATATACAATGCTTTTTATATACATGTAAAACGATTTGTATATACATGTAAAACGATTTGTATATACATTTACAATGATTTGTATATACATGTAAAACGATGTACAATGATATATATATACACATAATGCAACAATTTATATATATATATATATATGTACAACGATTTGTATATACAAAATATACACCGATTTATATATCCAACATAATGCATCAATTTATATATACAAATATGCATATATGACATAAGACAATTATTTATATATACAATATATACAACGATTTATACATCATTATAAACAATATACTTATTAACAACATTAACAAAAATATGCATATACAACTATTTCTTATACAACATATGCAATAATTGATTTCCATGGGGTAATTTATGTAAATTGATATCTTTTACAACGATTATGTACAAAGGTTTTTAAATACAACGATTTGTATGAACAACGACTGAAATGAACAATAGCTTGTGTATACAATGATTATAAATATAGCGATTATAACAAATTAAACAAGATACCCAACAGGCCTGTATCACTCACCTGTTATTCATTTCACTTCTGTGACCTTCAATCAGGATCGATGCCAAGTCTATTTAAGTAGTCTCAATTGTATTACTCTACCGGTTATGTGTCTTTATTGCAATATTCTTGATAGCAATACCCTCGCTTTCCCAACCTATGGTGTTTACATGTCGCAGTTGACACAGTATTCAGAGATAACTTTGAATATCCTAGTTTTCAGAATAGTTTCGATTGCTGACAGACAAACCTACAACACTGTTTTCTAAAGATGCAGGATGATGAAGAAAATGGGCAAGTTTTATGGATGCCATCATGATCTCAATCGGAAATCTGCTATTTTTGGTGTAACATGAAGGTCGATGCGTTTGATTATGCCCATAACTGTGTTTTGTTTCCTTCCGTTGTCATAC